TTGTTGTCACCCTTGACAGGGTCGCTGCGTTGCTTCTTCCCCGTCTTCAGGCTCGGATTGGCCTGCACATTGGCCCTAACGCGTTGCCTGACATGCTCCCGGGCTTCCCAGTTAGGAGGTGCCTTGTCGGGATATAGGTAGTAGCACTGCGTTGTCGGGTGGATGTGGCCGCAAGCGCGGCACTGTTCGGTCGGGCGCTTTCGCTTGTTGGGTGTGGTAGACGAGTTGGACTGTTGCTCAGGCTGTTGTTGGCCACCAAAGCTGGCAAATGCTCCCTTGCCTACCCGGTTGGGCACAGGCTGGATGAGGTCATCGATGGAAGCCTTGATGTCCCGGGAAACAGTCCGATAGTTGAGGCTCTCGTAGGATGGCCTACATTGGATGCGGTAGGTCTGAACGAAGCCTGGAAAGTGGGCGCGTAGTGCGGCCATCAATGGGTTGAACCAGAGGTCGGTTGTTGTAGGTTCAGGCATGCCGTGTGCGTGCATTAGTTGAAGCAGGCTCTCCCAAGTGGTCAGCCAGGCCGTCAGGTCCGGCTTCTTCAGATGCTTGTTCTTTTGCAGGGAGTTCAGGTGGTCGGCAAGCCTGGTTCTGATAGAAGTGTTGGTATCGCTCGGCAGGTCGGATGCTTCCTTGAGGTTGCGATACCAGGTGCGAAGGTCTCGGTGACCCGGGCAGTGGGCATCGCGAAGTTGTTGGGAAACGGTCGTGTTGAAGTGCTTGATGGCTTTGGCTAGGCGCTGGGTCTGGATGTCGTGCCTTCGAACAGCGGCAGTATAGCGGGCATTCGCCTGGGCCACAAAGGCGCCCTGCAGTGCATCGATTTCCCGCTTCCTCTGTTCGATGCGCGCCTGCAGGTCGGATGCCTTAGTCGTGTTCGTAGTGGTGGTCGTGGTGGAATCTGGGCCTTCGTTGCCTTGGGTGGAGGTTTGCAAGGTGTTTGACTGGGTGCCGTCGTCGTCTTCGTTGATGGAAGTGGTAGGCGTAATAGGCTGAAGTGGCTGGGCGACCTTTAGCAGTTCGGCACTGCGGTAGGCCTCGAATTCGTCAAAGGCGTTGAAATCTTCGTCGGGCTCAGCCAACAGCTCCTTGGTGCCCTGGAAGTATGGGAGTAGGCCGTGGATGGCCATGGTAGCCGTAAACTCCCGGTCCCAGGAGGGCCAATCGGCAGGCCCGTTGAGGATGACAATGGTCTTGGGCGTGGCTTCAGTGGAAGACGACATCGTAGGTTGGGAATGGAGGGCGACAGTCGGTCGTCGTTAGATGGGTTCCGTTCGGTAGCTCAATGGGTGGTCGAGCGTTGCGCAGCGAAGCGTTGCAAAATGAGACTCTTAATTGTTGGAACCTGCAGGGCGACGACCGCTGAGATATGCGTTGGAAGAAGCTATTCCCAGTCAAAGCAGTGTATCGATTTCTTAAGGTGGTAAAAAG